AAATATGGGGAAAATTGGATATTTTGGATAGTTGGAACATAAATTAAATAAATAATGCTGAATAAAATAGGTCATTTTTTTAAAGTAAAGACTTTAAGAGGTTTATATACAACAGCAAAGATCAAAACCAAATTACCACATTTTAAAAAATCCAGATGTTTCTTAATATATATACATTTGGAGATTTTGTGTGTGCATCTTGGTTTCAATTTATTTCTTTGGATTCTCCCTTCTAAATTCTGAGACCTAAATTTTCAAAGATTATATTTCCATAGACTAATAATTTATGCAGAAATATGAATGATATAATATTCTAAAGACAAATTGCACTTAACCATATGTAATTACCAAAGTCTAACATCTGGAAAGAAAACATTAAATTTAATGAATGTAAAAAGGAATTAATGAGATAGCTCTTAACTAATTATCAATTATTTTAATATAAAACTATGGCAAATTGAAATAAAAATATTTATAATCCTTATTATGGGTAATATCATAGGAAAAGATGTTATAAATTGATTCAGATAAAAATATTGCAGTGGGAGATAGGAAGATAAAAATTGTGAATATATATAGTTTGTGGAAGATAGAAGTCCAAAGTGGTAACAGCTACTTATACAAAGTGGCCCCTCCAAAAGCAAATGACAAATGGTTTTAGTAATTCTATGTGCCACTAGTATAGAGTAGACTAGACTGACATAAACTTTAGGTGTTTTAGGGATCTATGAGTTTAAAATATATGTAACTCAGAGACTGTACCAATAACAAAAGACAGGAAGGCAAATTCGTTGAGCGATTATAAGGAAGTTTTATATGCATTGCCAAGATTTCACATCTGAAAACTAGTCTGAAGAAAAGGTAAGTTGCATTCCCTAAAAAATATGCTTTCAGTGGGTTTTCTTGGAGGTGAAACTATCTGGGTGGCTGAACACAAAATCACGTCACGATAGACTGGCCTGAATTTCTCAAAATGTTTTACCTTTTGGAGTTCTCTGAGAAATCTGGATGTCAGTTTTTAGCCTATAAAGTCAATATTTGATGCATACTAATATAGCAATGTATATGAAGATTTTTAATTCCTACTACCCTTGTAGAACTGGATTGTGAACCTGGCTCCTATCTTAAGCCACAGAGCAGTCCTAGACATGGAAGGCATTTGGGGATGAATCAATATGAACCAATAGGTGGGATCTCTTTCTCTCTCTCACTTCCTTCTTCCCTCCTTTTCTATTACATACACACACACACATACACACACACACACAACCTGCCTCAAACATATAAAAAAAGGAAGGAGATGAGAGACACAGAAACAGAGACATGTGAATAGAAGGAAAGGTTTTGTGAAGATAGAGTCAGAAATCAAAATGATGTATTAAATTCAAGAATATTGAATATGCAAAATCATGTAGATGATATTTTATGTGTGATTAAAGGTATTTTCATGGGTATTATTGATTATATTTGATCTTTACGTCATACAAATAGTTTAGAATCTTAAACTATTTGGAAAATGTAATCCTAATGAATGAACTGAGTAAATCTGATAGATATTCTGCTAAATAATTTGAGTCAAGTTCTAAGAGGGTTCACTATCTAAGATATAGAAGGAATGAATGTAATTTTAGATTAATGAAAGTGAGAAAAATATAAATAGTAATATATAAGAAGTGATATCAAAATGTAATAAAAATAGTCAAACGTGGCAAAAGAAGGAAATTATGGCAAAATGAAAATGATGGGAAGCAGAAATAAAATAGAATTCTATTTGAATATATCAATGACATTGCTTGAATATTTCAAGACAAAGACGTATAGGTACAAATAGGAAAAGTCAACAGAAAATATTTATGTAATTTTACTATCCTAAACTAAGAAAATTTGTAGGATCATTAGATTATTGGACATCCACTGTAGATTTGAAACTCAAAATATTTGTTATCATGCTTTAACTAAATAATTCAAATAATTGGTTTATTTTTATCCATATAACCTTTAAGACTGTAGAACAATCCAATTCATCTTATTTTTGTATTGGAGGATGGAGACGGGGATGTTCTGAATGAATGGGAACATAAAAAAAACGTGGAAGGAATATGTTCTGTGTTCCACAGCACAGTGGGTTGATTATAGCTCACAATAACCCACTATATATTTTGTAAAACATCAGAAGTGGGGAGTTCAAAAGCTTTAAGCATAAAAAATGGATAAAAAGATGGAAATTATAATTATCATGACTTGATCAGTACATATTTTATGAATATATTGAAATTTTATACTGTATCACATAAATATATATCTCTATATGCTAATCAAAATTATATGAGAGTCTTCTGTACATTTTTATGCATTTGGAATACAGGAGAAAAGGAAAATTATTTTTTTAAATAAAAAAGTATGGTTATGTGTGTGTGCTGTCATTTGCATTTGTCCTCCAAAAGCTGGTTTGTTCAAAATTGCACACCAAGGCAGCAGTGTTGTGAAAGGACACTTGAAGTCACTGGGTCATAAGAGCTTTGCTCTTATGTCTAGAATCCATTAATGTATTGTTAAAATAATGATTGATTCTAGGAGGGGCTAAAGCTCTCTTTGGTCAGCTTGCTCTGACTCACCAAATAATGCCCTCTGCCAAGTTTATGATGAAGATAAAAGCCTTCAACAGATACTGTGCAGATTCCAGTACCTTGTTCTGGGACTTCCCAACCTCTAAAACAATGAGTTAAATGACCCTCCACACTTTATACCTTACCTAGTTTGTGACAGTGAATTATAATAACACCAACAACAAAACAGACTAAAACAGTTGATATGTGTGGCAGTGTATACTTGAATTATTATGTGCTATTGCATCAATCACTTACATACTTTTTAATATTTAATTATAACATTGTCCTTTGTAGTAGATAATTATCATTACTATTATAGAGATGAAAAAAGTAAGACTCCCACTGATCATGTAATTTGTCCACAGAAAAGGAACAGAAAAGTTATCGAGTTGAGCCTGAACCCAGAAACTGATGCCAATATTGGCATTTTGAAGCACAGTGATATTGTGCATGATGATAGGAGATACACACACACACACATATATAAATACAATCTCATCTACTTCTCACAACTCTGCTCTGTAGACACAACGATTTACATTTTATAAATAAAAAGACTGAGTCTCAAAGAGATTGTGTAACTTGTCCAAAGAGAGACTAATTTGTCCAAAGAGAGATGTGGCAGGCTAAAATTACTAAGTATTGTATATTTTTATGTAGTTTGAGATAAAGATTGATAAAACATTTATAAAATAAATCAATTTCCTTACTAATAATTCAAAGTACAATCTATTTTATCCATAATGCAAGACTAATATTTTAAAAAGTTAACATTAAAAACCGTCCACTATTTTCTCATTATTTTTTACAGTAAAAGGATTTATTTCAAGTTATATCCATCTGCCAAAATAAAGATCCCATTATTTAGGAATTTGAATGTACTTTTATTTTGATCATTATTTTTTCCTTCTCTTTTTGAGGATGCATAGTCTATACTAAATATCTCCAGGGTGACCAGAATATCTACATGTCAGGAAATAAAAAGCCTAATTTTCCTCTTTCTCATTCTTTTGACCAGGCGGTATCCCAAGAACAGAGTAGAATAAAACAAACCAATGGCTTCCAAAGAGGACCCAGAGAACCATACAGTTTTCTGAATAATCATTGCTAGGATTCAGTCCGCAGCCAGGTAGCATTTTTGGCACCTGGGGACCATAAATCTCTAGCAAGAGATTTATGCTCTCTTGAGCACAAAAGAAAAAAAGGTAAACACAATTAAGTCCAAGATAATTTTCTGTCTAAACTGTCACTCTCTTCACTACCAAAAAGCTCAACTGATTCAACCAATCTATATGTTAGGGAAAGGAAATATTTATAGAGCACACAGACACCTTGCTAATGCTGGTATCGTCAATTTATTTTGATGTTAAAACGCCAGGTACAATACTTCATTTCTGGTGACAGTATTCTCAACTAAGTTGAGGATCTCAGACTTGTTTCAGAGGGGACTAAAGGAGGATATTAGGTAATATCTGGTTTTAAGAGAATGGACTGGAAGCATCAGCTTATTTGATATATCAGCAGGAGAAATGTAAAGTCAAGATGTTATCCAACAACATTTAACAATAAAATCCATGTCCTGCTAAAATACTGAGTCATCCAGACCCAGACATTCATGACAGCCATAACAAATCCTTTACTATGTAACATAACGCTGTAAATCTAAATTCCAGAGCCGACGAATTTTCACCCTTTCTCCCATATTTTAATTGCTCACTAAATTTCTCCTGCCTATCCACCCATGAACAGAGTTTAATCTGAATTAGATCCAGCAGGATCTCATATCTAATACTTTTAGAAACTAGATAAGTGACTTCTCAGACTTGTGATCAAGGAGATGTGAAGGCAGCAAAGGACATATTGTCTTCTAAATGTCAATGCAGAACAGATCCTCAGGTTGACAAGATGAGCTGAAATGTCCTTTGCTGTCTTTTATATTCATTGCTGTTCCAGAACTAGATGCTTAAAACAAAAATCTCTCTATTTTGAAATGTGTTAATAAACTATAAAACAGACATGATTGTTTTGTAAATGTTTGTTGTATAATCGTTATTCTATTTTAATTTAATGCATATTTTTTCAGGCAGACTTTGCTTTATCCTCTGGTAATTTTCCATTGTATGTAATTCCAATATAAAGGCACTTGCAAGGTTATTCAATGTATTTATTTTTAAAAATTAAAAACAATCCTGTTTTCATTTTTATATTGTTGTTCACCTGTGTACTTGACTGTAAATTCAGATTGACTAAAATGACTTCAAAGTTTTATTATTACAAAGCTACTATCTAAAAGAATTGCAGAGTAATTTTCTTTAAAAAATAATTTTCATGTAGTGAAAAATAAAGCAAGTCTGGAGTAAAAGTCTACATCATGAGATGAATCTTACTTACCAAACTCCTTGGGAACCGCTATAGAATAAACACAATTATGTCCCACACTGTAATTTTTTGGATAGTTTGGTGAAAGCACTGTGCCTTCAGAACCTGTTGAACGACTTCCACAGGGTGCTGGAAAGTAAAAATGATAAAAATACTATTTTTAGTAAAAATTAAAGTTCAGGCCATATAATCTTCATATAAAATGGTTATTTGATTATAACATATATGATTTATTTCCATCTTTTATCAATATACTTCAAATATTTTCAAATTAAAAAACTTTGTACATATAAAATTTTATTCAGATTTCCTGTTATCCAAAGCAAAATAATATAATAATGTTATAACAGTGTTATCTCTAAAAGTAATAGTAGATGCCTCGCTTTCATTTCTGATAAGAGTACAGAATTAATCATCTCTTTCATAATGATGACAAATTACATTTTCAAGTGGGAAATTGTTGTCCTTATTGCCAGGCTTTGAAACTCTAGTCATATGTAACACTGATTATGCTTCTGTCAAACTGAGCATTTATATACACGAGACATGGATGGTTGTACCTATATGTTTACCCACTCCTCTAAATATGCTATTTTCTCACTGATCTTTGTCAGTTTATATAGTTTTCTTTGAAATCATAGGAGTTGCTGATGATTTCTTTAGGTAGACTGATTCACTACCTCACTACCTCACTGCCTGAGGTAGTGATTGTTCATAAAAAAGATGAAGGTGAAAACATGGTTTCTGGAAAATTTGTAGATGATGGCTCTTTATGAGCAGAACAGGGATGAGTTCTCTGAATTTTGCTACTTATGGCACTTTAGATATTTAATATGTTGTTCATCATTGATATGCTCTAAGTGAATGAGATCATTCAGGAAAGTATGAGAAATGAGAAACAGACAGCCAAATAGGAGACTGAGAAATTCCAAAAGTTTAGGATCAAAGAGGAGGAGTATGGAGAAATCAGGCTCTTGGAAGCTGAAAGAAAAGAAGGTTTCAAGGAAAAGAGTGTTGAAAAGTGGCCAATGAAAAAGGAGTCCTGGTTCCCTTGGAATCAGGAGTGTAAAGCAATAGGGCTCTTCTTCCCCCTGGCCTATAATTTCCATAAGGAAGGAATTTTTCAAAGTACATCTATCTGCTGGGCCCACTCACTTATTCCTTAGCAGCAGGAGGTGATTTCTGATTGTTGAGCCTGGGACAAATATTTTTAGTTTTCTTCCAGTTGGGAGGCTTCCTGCCTGAAGTACACACTTACTGATTTGCTCATCTACACTGTAAGATTTTCAGGATGAGTCCATGGTCAGTAGCCTATTGTTTATCAAGATTAAAGCGAATGGTTTGATTTCTCTCAGACTGTCCTAATTGACTTTGAACTTTTCAATAAGTTTATTATTCCCCTCAAACACCAAAAAGAGTGTTAGCGCTGTAGTTTCAATGTGAGAAGCTATCTGCAAAGTCAGCCAGGAAGTCAAGTCCAGGCCATGGACCAACACAGAGTTTTACATTTTTAGTACTACAAACACAATAAAAACCACAGAACATGCAATAGAGAGGAAATAGAGGAAATAAGGAGCATTGACCTAGAGATAAGATCAAAACAAAAGTGGAATGATTGGCTTTAAAAACTAGTAAGTGACTTGAGAAAAGGGCAGAAGGAGGCTAAAAGTACATAGCTTTAGGTTTTATGTCGTAATTTATTTGAGTTAATGCTTATTTTCCTTTAGAAGAGCACTGGATGCAGGGTGGATTAGGTGCCTACAAAAGAGTTATGGGAGTTTGGAAAAAGTCGAAACTTTAGATGGATTCCTGGCCAAAGTTCAAAAATACAGCAATATATTTTAAACACATGAATGTACAAAACACAAAGAATACGTTATATGGAGTAGAGTGGCTAATTAGTGTTCAGCCTTCTTTCTGTAGTGTTCTGGTGAAGGGTAATAAATACTTCAAATTTAAACATACTAAAATTAGAAATCTGCACAAACAACAACAAATTGGCAGTGATGATAATAACCAAAGAAGCATCATTCTCATCACTCATTATTGTTTGAGATAGCAGTAGTCAGGTGCATTCTTATTTCAGCACTGATAACTTTATTCAACTGATAATGCAGCTGATGAGAAAATCTTTCAAGAATGAGTAAAGTGTTTTATGTTAAATTTTTTTTTGATTTTAAGGTGCTCTAAAATTAAAATAGTTTAAATGTACATCACAAAACTTATTTTTACACTTGGAAACTATGAGCAAAAATTGGAGTTTTTAATTCAAATTTAGTTCTATTACTTTATCGTGAACTTTCTGCTATCATATATTAATATGTTTCTGGGGCTGGTGCTGTGGCAAAGCTGGCTAAGCCTCCACATATAGCAGTGGCACCCTATATGGACATCAGTTCTTGTTCCAGCTGCTCTTCTTCTGACCCAGCTCTCTGCTGGTAGTCTAAGAAGCCAGTGGAGGAGGATGGTCCAAGTGCTTGGGCCCTGCACCCACATTGGAGACCTGGAAGAAGCTCCTGGCTCCTGGTTTCGGATCAGCTCAGCTCCAGCCATTGTGGCCATTTGGGGAAGTGAACCAGCAGAGAATAGACTTTTCTGTCTCTCCATCTCTCTGTCTGTAACTCTACCTCTCAAATAAATAATTCTTTAAAAAAGTGTTTCTGACGTGCCAGGGGATTCCAATTCAATCCCATCAAGGTGGCATGTACCAATGCCATCTCACTAGTCAAAGTGATCAATTTCAGTTCACAATTGCTCACACTGATAGATCTAAGAGTCAAAGGGATCACATAAACAAGACTAGTGTCTTCTAATACTAACTGATAGAATTAAAAGGGAGAGAACGATCCAACATAGGAAGCGGGATACACAGCAGGCTCATAGAATGATAGATGTCCTAAACAGCACTCTGGCCTCGGAATCAGCCCTTAAGGCACTTGGATCTGGCTGAAGAGCCCATGAGAGTATTTTAGACATGGAAAGCCAAGACACTTTGGAAAAACAAACAAACAAAAAAACCTAAATGAAAGATTTCTGCAAGTGAGATCACAGTGGAAAGAACGGGCCATTAAAAAAGGAGGTACCTTTCTCTGAAGGGAGGAGAGAACTTCCACTTTTACTATCACCTTGTCTAAATAAGATTGGAGTCGGCGAACTCAAAATGCTTCCATAGCCTTGGCAACTCAAGACAAGAGCCTAGGGTGATTACTGATGCCATAAACAAGAGTGTCAATTTGTTAAGTCAACTACAGGATTCACTGTGCATTTACTCCTCATGTAGGTTCTCTGTCCTTAATGTGTTGTACAATGTGAATTAATGTTATAACTAGTACTCAAACAGTATTTTACACTTTGTGTTCTGTGTGGGTGCAAACTGTTGAAATCTACTTAATATACACTACATTGATCTTCTGTATATAAAGATAATTGAAAATGAATCTTGATGTGAATGGAATGGGAGAGGGAGCGGGAGATGGGAGGGTTGTGGGTGGGAGGGAAGTTATGGGGGGAAAAAGCCATTGTAATCCATAAACTATACTCTGTAAATTTACATGCATTAAATAAAAGTTAAAAAAAGTATTTCTGAAAACCTATTAGCTATTCTGTGCAATGGGTGTAAACAATGGACGGACATATAGTTTTTGTTGGAATTCCTTTATATAAACCTAAGTTTTGCTTTTTACAAAAACAAATATGTAAGAGTTCACTTTTTTTTTAAGGGAATGAGTTTACTGGAGGAAACCCTACAGACTGGAGGGAAGGGGCAAAGAAGGAAAAACAGGGAGAAGGAGAGTGTAAGAGACAGAGACAGAAACAGAGGTCAGGAGATGGAGAGGAAGAGAGAGAGAGACATGTTCAGGAGCAGGTCCTTTTAAAACTTTGCCAGGGGTGGCCAGGTAAGCTGAAGCAGCAAATCCCATTTAATCACATATAATTATGGCAAATGATACTTTGTTATTATGTAGTATGTTTTAATATACTTAAGAGAAAATTAATCATGTTCTCAAACACAGATCTATTGTAATATGTTTTATTTTTATAAAATAATAGCTAGATGAGGACAACTCCACTGATTCCCCATATTGTTTTCTAGAAGCTTTTCCAATTCTCATTGCCTGTTTTAATTTAACTTTATTGACTGGTAGGAAAAAAAAAAAAACAGTGCTTATCTTTCTGGCTTTTATCAGTGAGAGCTAAAAGCAGTTTAAGCCTTTAATTCTATGCTCACTTTTTGCCATTTGTCATATACTTAATCTATCTGTGGGCCTTTTGTCAAACTAGCTGGTTTTTTTTTCTCTAAATAGCCTATACTACTCAGTTGCTAAAAAATATTGGAGGCAACTAACTTATAAAGAGAACTAGCTAGTTCACTGATTTGGATCAAAGACCAAATGGCATGGCAGTGATCTAATGATATCCCATTAGGCTCTAATTCCAGAATATCATAATCAATTAAGTTTCCACTTTTTTCATACCATTAACATAAGATTTTAAGGACTAAACTAAGTTGAAGAGGACAGATATTCAGAATATAGTACAGCTTATATCCATTAGTGTGCATTAAATCCGAGGACTCACTTGTTCTTGACTATAACTCATGTGGTACATAAGTCTGTATTTTAATAGTGCATTTGTGAAACATATGAATTATGAGAAAAGATAGTTCCAAGAATAAGTGGAAAATACATAGATAAAAGAATCAGGGTTTTCATTTTTTATGAAAATTGAGCCTTACACTTGAAGAATGGCATGTCTTTCTTACAAACTTACTTGACCCTGAAAAAAATTCTTGTTTTTTCCAAATTTCACCTTACAGGCCCAATATTCCTGAGAACACACTATTCAAAAAACCAAATTAATGATTCTAAAATGTGCTACCATTTTACCAATAATTTTAATGTTTATTTAATTATTTGTAATCAGTTATGGCTTTCCAGCAATAGAGAACCGTGCTTTATGTATACATATAGAGCCAAAGTATTTCAGATATTTAAAATATTAAACAGCCTATTTATAAAATATCATTATTATTAACCCCCTTCCCCAATTCTTGCATCCAATACGTCATTGATTTGTTGCTTATACTCCTACTTAGCTTATCAGCTTCTCCCTATCGTTGCTGTCACTAT